GGGGGGGGGTGGTTGTGAAAATCGTTGGCTCTGTTCACGTTAAAGGAAGGTTCTCGTTTAATTTAGGTAGGGAAAATTAGGAAGCCATTTTTGAGAAGATATTTTGCTGGAGCGAATATCCGATTTAATAATGGCGCTTTCAAAAATTGACGAATTAGATTAGAAAATAATGGATTTGTGCAAGTAGAGAGAGAGAGACAATTCTCAAGAACGATATGCTCAAGCATCGGAGAAATTATGAGCCTCGCGTGATTAATCGAGAGAGTGAACTCCGTTTCACGTGGTTAAAGGTAATAACTGTGCCTTTTAACGAGTGAATTTTACTACTGAAGCTCCAGTGACGTATTTGATCGGGTTGGTAGTATTGATTTCAAAGACCTTTATTTATATCAAATGGCAGGCGTTTTGATAGTTATCATTAGCCCTTTAGTTGACTTCAGGCTTCATAGGGAGGAGGAGGAACATCAAGGTGAACAAAGACAGAAGAGTGTTTCAAAGATGTAGAAGAGACAGACACAAAGGTAGAAAAAAGGTGAGGTGAGTACTGTGAAGGGGTCGATAAGACACACAGTGGGGGGATGGTAGTTTGAAGTGAGAAGTCAACTGCCAGTTAATAGACTTTTTGCCGTATGAGCATACGTTGCCCAGGGTGCACCACGTGGAGTTAAGTCTATCGCACACCCCTTGATTTCAAGTGTATAACCACATCCCATTGCTGTGCGTGCGTGGCTTTAAAAATAAGATTTTAAATTGCGCCAAGTGCATTTCCGAGTTTTTTGTTGAGGGTTAAAATAGTTGCAATCAATCCAAATGAGGGTGTTATCGCGCATTCAAACCTAAAGATTATAAATGAAAATGGATATATTACTTATATATGTTTTATAGTAGTTTTTTATCCTTTTTTGTCTTTCCTCCACTGCAGACCACACTTTCGCCGGTAAATTATGAAAAATTCCTCTCACTTTTGGCCGATGAACTTCTTTTGCGTTTGGAACGCTTTGTCCAACAAAAGTGCTACAATAGGGTGCGCTTTACAGCCTACACATCTGATATCATCCTCAAGTAATATATGTCAAGTAATAAGTAGTCCTGTTATGTTTTTTTTTCTTTTTAGTACGGTGCTTTGCAATTCGATAAGGAGCTTAGGTGTATATTCAACTTCTTTTGTTCCCTCTCTACCTTCCCATTTCGAGAAAAATTCGCGCGGATCCTGCAAATCAGCAAGTTATTGAACCTTGAGAAGGTGAGCTTTACCTTTTCAAATAGTATCCTAGTCAACGTCAAGGTTATGAATTTTCCCTCTACTTGATCTATGTGTCTTGTTGACACTTTAACGCCCCCCCCCTCCAGGACCGTAAGATCCTCTTTCAAAATAAACTCCATTGGTGGTAGGCTCGAAACAGGTGGCGTTATTGCTGTTTGAAACATGTTCAATACGTGCCTATACAGCCTTCACCTGATACCGGCCAAAACTTGTCCCATCGACATCAGTCTTCTATGGGACAGGCGTGAATGCGGTTGGGTGCATCTTTTTAGGGAAAAAAATTAATCGGGCGTTAAGGAGGTTAAAGGTGATTACTTAATTCATATAGCCCATTTGGTCACGAATGGGATAGGTAGAACTCGGGACCTCGAGTTATGCTTAATGCAGGCCCTTTAGTTAACTTCTGGATTCGCAGAGGAAGGGGGAGGGATATCAAAGTCACGAAAAGTTGAGGAGGGGAGGGGGCCGCACTGAAGAGTGATTCGCAGATGTCAAAGAGACAGATACAGAAGAAAGGAAAAAGGTGAGGTGAGTACTGTGAAAGTGGTCGAATATGACATACAGTGGGGTGATGGTAGTTAGAAGTTTATAGACTTTGTCGCACGAGTATACGTTGCCCAGTGTGCACCACGTGGAGGTAAGTCTATCGCACACTCCTTTTTGACAATATAGTTTTTCACTTTGATGTTGTGAGGGTATGTGGGAAGTTGATCGAATGACTTCTCCGCTCATGCAGAAAGTGCCATTTTCATTTGTGTTTTTTTGTGCTTCAAATATCTCCAAGAATTCATTCAAAGTTGGGGAAAGGAATTGATCCATGTGGTTGAATATTTTGTACAGGCAGTGGTAGATGCTTTGACGAAACACGAAGGATACATTCACCGATAAAATGAGCTAATTCCTCTCGTTTGTTTGTGTTTATTAGCCGTGCAAAACGCTAAAACTTGTGCATACTTGTCAACAGCGAATGATACTACTTAGAATATGGGTCAATGCATTTAATCTGTTTTTTTTGTTAGTACCTAAACCATGTGATCGGATTCGTCTATTCTCTAATGGATTGGTTGTGGTTGAGCGGTTTTCACTCTCTAATAAGAGTCCATGTCAATCCACCCACTGAAAATGGTTTGCATTCAAGTCCTCACTTCATCAATCATGTATATAAAATTTAATTTAGTCCGCAGTTAGGCCTAAAATGTAAGAAGTTTCATTTCGCAATTGGTGTGGCTATCTGTCTTTGGGCACTCCTGTCGTATTGTGTATTTACGCATTTAAGAAGATCTAGTGACAATTGGTTTGAAAGTCAGAGGAAGCGTCTGCCTGGCATCATCCAGGTCATGGCGTCACGCCCTTCATCTTACCTATAGACCTTCACAAGTCCATTTAAGGAAGTGTCAAAGCTATTTTATTTGTATTGATCGGGGTTCTTCCGGACCGGCTTCGATAAGATCCCCATTTAGACGCTTCTCTTACAGACCTGAAGTAATAAGCCGTGTTGGTCGCCCTCATCTCTGAATATGCCCCAACAAGTGGTAGTCTCGCGATCTCTGTCACGGTGGACATTAGCCTCATTTTACCGCTCAAAGTGCCTATAGTTTGAATCGGTGATTGTGTTAGTTCCTTAGAGACGCAGCCTCGCTTTTTCCGTGGCAACTCCTGCATTCGTCATATTCCCGCCTGATCTTTTTGCACTCTAGCTAAAGATGAAAAGATGAAAAGTGTGGATCGGGGGGGTGGGGGGGGGAGGCTTCTCGCAACTCATACTATTAGCCTCTTGAAGAACACTCCCTTAAATGCTCTTACCTAAAGGCAAGCTTGGTTATTTTAAGTCTGACTTTTTTGGGTTTTTTTTTGTTTACTATCTTTCAAATTGCCCTAAAAATCCCACTGTTTCTTCCCCTCCTCCCATTCAGGTCGAGGAAGTGAGCTACTATGGCGATACCTCCAACTGGCGGCTCTCGGCCAACGAAATCCGCCGACTTCTGACGCTAAGGTGGGTTGTGTGTCGTTGACGCCTGACGCGGCAATGACCCCTTTTTTATATATCCGTGCGTGTTTATGCGCGTATAGGTACTTGGTTTTATGCCCCTATAAGGCCACGCCTTCCTCATTAGCGCACTAGCAAAATTAATGACTGCCAAGTGTTGGCTGGCTTTGGAGCTAATATTCTGCCTCTTGTTGCAACTTTCAGGGTGGACTTCACTGCTGAAGAGATCAGACGATTGCATCTGTGATATATGTATGATGGGCTTCAAATAATGTGTAATGCCTTTTTTGTACTTTCTGACTTTTTTTGTTAATAAATTGTTTTGATTGTCTGTGTACGCGTTTGCTTTAAACCTGGAGTTTTGGGTTTGATCGACATTTGCTCTTTTTGCTGTAACTTAGTCGAGATCATTTTCTTGAACAAAATTGGGGAATGATTTTGTCTCTTAATACTTTACAGCTATACTGAAATCAATAAAAAGTCCCTTCGTACGACCTAATTTGAGTTGATTTTGTAATTTAATGATTTTGAAATCGGTGTGTAGCATCAAATTTCGGGCCACTTCTACATAATTGCAACTCCAGAAATTACTAGTCTAAATTTCATATAACTAATGAGTTCAATAATTTAATTGGTTAAATGCAGGCAATTTACTTTTGTCTTTGACCAATCAGATTAAGACAAACTGGTGCTTAAGCCATATAAATCAAGGTGCAAGTTTCCCGAAAGGACGCATGCAAAGTGAATGCAAAAAAGGAATCTGATTGAAATCCATAGCAATATGTTTTCATTGGACAATTACTGTAGATATTGAGCCTTAACAAAAGGCCGGATGAATTACATAAAGCCTTAGCAGATATTTATTTATTTATATCAAATGTCAGGCGTTTTGATAGTTATCATCAGCCCTTTTTAGTTGACTTCAGGTTTCACAGAGAGGAGGAGGAACATCGAAGTGACAAAATGTCGAGAAGGGGGGGTGGACAGAAGAGTGTTTTAACAATGTAAAAGAGACAGACACAAAGGTAGAAAAAAGGTGAGGTGAGTACTGTGAAAGTAGTGGGGTAAGAGGTCAACTGCCGGTCAATAGACTTTTTTTGCCGTATGGGTATACGTTGCCCAGGGTGCACCACGTGGAGGTACGTCTATCGCACACCCCATAATAGCAAATATAGTAAGGACGATTCTATTATTTAAGGCGCCGTAATTGATCTGGGGAGGAAATACTGTCCCTGTGGCTAAAAGAATAGAAAAAGTCTCATAACTAACATGTCCCACGACAAGACAATAACGGACGAATATTTGAAAAAGCGCCAAGAGACAGAGGAACATCAATTAAATACTCAACTATTGTAAGGCCACTTGTCGAGAGATAAATTACCTCGACAAGTCAATACAAATCAATAGCGCTCCCTTTAAAGAAATCTTGGGTTGGAATAAATGTGAGTTTCCGCATGCAATTTTAAAACTCAGGCAATTAAATGTAACTTGATATCCAATCCAAACAGGGCACTCTTTTATTAGGATCTTAAAATCGACTTACATTCAAAAATAGCAAAAGAAGAATTGTCATTGTGGTTACAGTGTCATCGATTAGTCAATCTGGTGTAGAAGAAGGTAGTTGGGAATTAGCTGTCACAAAACTGAAAAAGTATCTTAATTGGTAAGTGAAAAGTGACTGATTATTAATTTATTTATTTCAAATGGCAGGCGTTTTGATAACTATCATTAGCCATTTAGCTGACTTCGGGCTTCACAGAGGGAAGGTTCATCAAAGTAGCAGAAAGTCGAGGTGTGGGGAACAGAAGAGCGATTCACAGATGCAAAAGAGATGGACAGACACAAAGGTAGAGAAATAGTAAAGGTGAGTGCTGTGAATGTGTTGGAATATGGCATACAGTGGGGCGATGGTAGCTTGAAGTGAGAAGCCAACTGCCTGTTAACAGACTTTTTTGCCGTATGAGTATACGTTGCTCAGGGTGCACCACGTAGACGTAAGTCTATCGCACACCCCTAGTGAATAATTATAGAATCAAATGAATTAGTAAAAAGTTAGTTTTTATCAAATGAATTTTGGGATGGGCCAAATTCGCTACGGAGGCAATTTGATGACTCCAGAATTTCAAGCCATTAGTGCTCTTGATTACCT